AAAAGCCCCCAAGTGACATGGTAAAAATCAATTCAGATGCTGCGTTCTCAATAAACTCAGGAACTGGAGGTTGGGGTTTCATCTGCAGAGACAATACAGGGGAGTTGCACTTTGCAGCTGCTGGGGCTAAGCATGGTCTGTCGAGTGCTCTACATGCTGAAACTTTAGCTCTGTATCAAGCAGTACAATGGGCAGACAGTATTGGGGTTGGCCGTGTAATTTTTGAGACAGACTGTCAAGTCCTGCAGCAAGCCACCTCCTCTAGCACCTATGATTTTGCACCCCTGGGTGTGCTTTTTAGTGACATAAGATTCAGACTTAGAACTACGTTTATTGACAACAAAGTGGTGTATGCACCAAGAGACTGTAATAAACCAGCGCATGTGCTGGCGAATATGGGTGCAGGCCTAGCTGATGGTGAACTTAGGGAATGGTTCACCAGCTATCCTGATGATGTAATCAGTGCGGTGACCGGCGATCAGGCCGTATCTTAATGGAATATCAGTGTTCCATATCAAAAAAAAAAAAAAAGAATGGCTTCTCCAAGGCTCTGGTCCGCGGATGCACACATTCATAGTACGAGAAATGCTATATCGACGGAAAATTAATTAACATTTATGGGCTGCTGCTGAATTGACATGTTTTGAATGGATTAAGAGGGAGTAAGGGGCCCCACCCAGGTGAAATCCAGGGCGCGTGAAGAGAATTTAAGGTAATGTATATATGTAACACTTTGTAAAAGGACCGTGTGTGTAGAATTTTTGCATTCTTTTTTTTGCGCGGGGGTGGGGAGGTGGGGTGGGTTTGCATTCATACCATTTTAAACTTGATGCTAGGTAACTGGACAAAGGGTCATCATTAAATAAACTACGTGCGATGGACAAAAAGGGTAGAACCATAACAAAGGTATGAAATAAACACCTATGACTACGTCGCCTTCTATCACCCACCTTCAATGAGATGACACACTTGTGTTGTTTGTTGCTGCTTCTAGCCTGAGGTGACCGATACATCGATTTTCGTCCTCGGTGGAAGGGGGCAACCAATGAAAGTTGAAATAATGGCACAAAGACGATGCACGTTTATCACTACCGGATCTAGCCACAGAAAACCAGATCACAGATTTTTCGCCCCCGCCATAAAGTGGTGTGTTCTAGCCACCATATTAGCAACATGTCTTCCGAAAGTCGTATCACCCAGTACTGCGCATAGAACTACCATGATTTTCACTAGAGATAACTGCAAGCAAAACCGGGAACTCCTCACGACCATTCACCAACAGATCAAAGATCAGACTCAATTGGTAGTCATCCACTTCTTGAGACTAGTCTCCACACATCTCGATGAAAGGGAGTGCCCGGGATACATTTATCCAGATATTGTCATGGGCATGCCATTGATATGACCACACTTGAGCCCCGCCGTCGCATCACCACTACTCGACCACGCTTGTCTCATGGAGCCAACTGGTTGACCGCTTCCCCAGGATGAGTGCCTCCTCCCTCCCGCAATAGGAGGAATGGTGCCAATATAAGTTATGGTGGGTCTTCTCCGATCTAAGACCGCCGCCAAGTCATTGAGAAGATCCCAGTCACACCACACATTTACATGTTGCCATTGGAGCTCCAGTCAGCCATGCCTTGGGCATCGGCCCCCCTATAGCACACCATAGTGGTCGCCTATTGAGTCGGACATGCGATCCATCATCGAGGTAGCAGTTGCCACCACACCTCCTCATCGGGTCACACAGCGCCCGCTATCCATGATCCAAGGCCTACATGGTAGCCCCAACCACACACTCTTAACCCCCGCCAGCCCTCCGAAGAAGACAACGAGAAGACACTAGCGACGCCCTAGATCACCAGCAGAGTCGCTCTATAGTGATGTGGCCGGCCCATTAGGTGGTGTTCAAATAGGATGCATCACAAAAAAAACAATGCTCCCGAAACTCTCTAGTTTTCGATTGAATTCGATCATGGCAAAGGTGCATAATCACCTACCATCGCCAATCTCAATATGTGATGCAAGCATCACGTAAAGCATGGTACTTGCTGACCAGCACGAACACACAAAGTTATTACTTATAGGGATCAGCTCTCTCTCGAGTATAAACCCGAATTTCACCGAGTAGTTTAATCTAGTTTCTCCGAGTTAACGTTCATTCCTTGATAATTGTTGTGTGGTTGAACCTATATTAATGTGACGTTCTTACTTGAAAAAACTAATATAATTATGATTGTACCTTCTACTTAAATATCCGCAAAATACAAGAAGAATAATTAAGATAACCTTCATGTTCCTTGCTTTCTTTGCCTTGTTTTTTTCCTTGTTTCATTTGCTCTTCACTAAAAGCCCAAACATAACAAAAGCATTAATTTGTTTGTGTCTCTGTTTTATTTTCAATGTGTTCTTATGACTTGAGAAAATAGCAAAAATATGTTTTTCTTCTTATTTTGGTTCTTAGTTTCTTATGACCTTAGAAAACATCATAAATATTTTCTCAAATTTATTTTGTGAGCTGTACAATTTTTTTCTAGAAAATATCAAAAAAGATATATTTTTTCCTTTTAAAAATAAAAAGCAAAAACACCCTCTGAATTTCTTGCCGTCCTTGTTTTTTATGTTTCAAAAAGACCAAAAATGGTTTTGCACTGCTAGTTGTTATGTTTCAAATGAAAATCACAAAAATATTTTTCATTCATTTGCATCTTGATGCACTTCGTGCTTCACAAAAGAAAAACAACAAAAATATTTCCTTTTGTTCTTTTTTCTTCATGTTTTGAGCTAATGAAAATCCCAAAAAAAATCTTATCTTTTGTGTTGTCTTTATTTTGCGGATACTCTAGCACATGGTCTTGGTTGCACTTGCTTTTATCATTGGACATCAATTTGAGAAAGTGTTGAGCAATAATGATGATATACAGTGAGGTGACCGAAAAGGCCGGTATGATCATCTTTACTTTGCTTGCGTGCATGCTTTTATTGAAGCTTTATAGCATCATATTTTAGTTACCAAGTGCATACTAACAATCTGTTGAATCGTGCTTTCCCACGCTAAGTTGTTATCAACTAGAGAATTATACTATAATAAGTAAAGGTAGGCCAAGAACGGTGCTCTCCACTCTACAATGCGCAGGACCACATTCGAGGTGGTGTACGGCTTCAACCGGCTCACCCCTCTTGATCTACTTCCACTACCATTCCAAGATAGGACACACATGGATGCCAACAAGCGAGCCGCCAAATTCAAAACAAAGCCACAAGAAGCTGCATTAGTCCACCAAGGCCAACATCGAGCACCAAATTCAAAACCAAGCCACCAAGGTCAACAAACATTGGCGTCATCCGATTTATCACGCTGCGAATCTTGGGATGCCGCACTGAGACAACCCAGCAGACGTCTCCCACGTAGAATTACTATATTTTCTTCCACTATTGTGCATGCTTAGCAGCCTAGCACAAAGACTTGGTGATAAACATGATTATATTGAAGGGACTAGTGTTAGTGATTGATTTAGTAGTCATTTTGAATAAGTGCTAGCGATTGATTTAGTAAGCTTTCTGAATTAGTATACACTCATTTAGCAGCCGCAATGTACAATAACATACCCAGATCATGCATCATTTTTAACACCAAAATCAGCGTGTGATTGCCCATACAAAGATAGTTCTGTCTTTTACATATACAGGGAGCCAATAGAAGACAACGTATCAACTCTCAAAATGTCCAACTATATTGATCCATTCGTTAGTCAAGCAACAGCAAATATACATGCATTAGTAATGGACCAGTCGTTGTGTCTGTTACTTGTACAACGAGGGAAACCACAGTCACACAAACTCCCACCAATGCCCGGAAAATTCCCAAATTGAAATAGTACTGGTCAAAAATTAGTAATTAGAACCACACAAGCTGGAGTTAACTTTTGCTCTATCAACCCTGAAATAGTCCGAGGAAGCACTGACCTCCAATTCTGTTGATAAAAGGAAGTCCACATATAGAGAAGAAGCCAACCAGACGTACTGCACAACCAACATATATATTGACCAAGAAGCTAGCTGGAAAAATATCACATGATACCATCATACCACACATATGACACCACTCCTCAAAATTCAAATTTGCAAATTTGCGAAAAAACAAAAACAATTGTGAATATTGATAAGATATGGTGTCAGTTATTAGCAAAAAGAAAAAGATATGGTGTCAGTTTGTACACCGTATAAAGAAACTCTTAGGGATTGTCGACACACTTATGAACAGTCAAAATTATTTTCAAGTTTTTTTTTTGAAAACTTCCAAATTGAATTCTGAGATGTGATATCATGTAAAATGTGGTTTCACCTGCGCCATCCGTCATGCATGATGCAACCGGTCGTGCTCGTGCTCTGGCTCATGGCCTCTTTCCTTCTTCCTCCCAACCCACCAAGCGCACGACCGATTGCCTCTCAATTCACATACCTGTTAAACTCATAAAATTAGACGGCACATTGCCAGTTGAAAACCTAAAGCGCGTCTAATAGACCCGACACAAGCAATGCTCCACTACCTGCTTCGAAAAATTTATGGAAATGTAGTGAGTAGTGACAGTGTGGCATTCATAACGAACCATGCATGCAGTACAATGTCCAGATCATCGGCATCTTCTACGACAACTTCTCTTTGCTCTAAGCATAACAATGCATTATAGTTCTGGAAATATGTTTGGCATAAAACTGTGGAACATTGCCAACTAAATATTAATCAAGACTTGGACGTCGACAAACCACCCTAGGTTTGTTGCCGTTTCATGTTGACTCTGTCTAGTTGGTATGGAAAAGAAAAAAACATTGACAGAATCAATCCAAGTCGTTGCCTAATCCTGGCAGAAAAAAAATCGTTGGCTAACACTGCTTATATATATTATCTCATCATCTCCTTGTCTTCGTCCTTCACTCACTTGAGCTTTGAACCATCCTCCTCGTTTACGAAATCTGTCTCCTGAGATCAGACTATTGGCATGTATCCAACCTCGCTGCTCCCCATCTTGTTCTCACTGTTCCTACTCCATCAACGCACGCATGCTGAGTGTGAACCAGTGACATGCGGGGAACTTCCCATCAAGTACCCATTCTGGCTCGGCGGCCCAAGCTATCCGTCGAATTCCTCCTGCGGCCACCCGGCCTTCGAGTTACGGTGCACCGGCAACAGCACCTCCACAACGTGGGCCCTGTGGAATGCGAGGAACAAAGCCCTCATCGAAGGAAAGGTGTTCAAGCAGCCCGCCGACCTGGTTTACAAGATGATTATCTTCCTGCAGCTGTGGAAGCCCCTTGGTAGGAGGCAAGACCAGGGCCGCACGGGCACGCTCATCGACAGCCTTCGGGTTCAGTGCAATCGGCTTCTTGTGGAGACTAGACGCAATAATACCTAAGCCGGCACTTTTGCTTGTGCTAGACCCTTGTCGGGTTTCCTAAGTATAATAGTGCTGCGTCACTATTCCTATTTTGCGCGTGTTGCGCTTTTCCTTTGTAAGGGTCTTATCCTAAGGCCGGGAAATATGCCTCTTGTCTAAAAAAAAACAGCACCTCGACTTCGTTGAGGGCCTCTGGCATCCACGTCCACGACATCGACTACGACACCAGCTCCTTCCTTGTGTCCCACGACAGAGTCACCCATGGCACCGACGCCGTATGCTGCACCGACTTCAACATGTCCACCATCCTAACTCTCGCCCCGTTTGAGATCAGCCCCACCAACCTGGCCCTGTGCTTCCTCTACGGCTGCAACGGGACGGAGCCGCGTGGGCCTGACTACGTGAACGCCATAGGCGTGCCCAGCTGCAATTGGCCCATCTCCGTGTACCTCGGCGGCAGCTACTACCGGAACATGCCGCCCGCAATACCCACCGGAAACTGCATGTAGACTTACCACCCGGTGCTTGGATCGGTCGCGGATATCTCGACGGCGGCAAACTACAATCAACTCCTGGACAGCGGGTTCGTCCTGGATTGGATAGGCACCAGGGCTGGGGACTGCTCTGCCTGCAGTGCGAGTGGCGGGCAATGTCGGTATAATAATGGGTCCACCGCCTTCGCTTGCCTCTGCTCTGTTGGCAACCTGCACGAGTCGACGTGCGCTGGCAAGCCTTCAAAATCAGAAATGCCTGTAAAACTCAAAATTTGACAACACGCTATAAATTGAACACTTGAAGTAACAGGTATATATGTTGGATGAACCAACCCTAAACGAGCAGTGCTCTCACTTACTAAGCAAAGATCTACAAAATCAGTTTACATACGTGCTGACATAGATGGAACCAACCTACATGCATGCACTAGGCTGTTTAAGTACAATCTTTTGTAAATATTGTGTATGATTATTACACCAAAAGAATGGGTAATGAAAAAAACTCCACCTGCCAACTCTTCGAAATCGTGAAACGCCACTAAAAAAACGGCTTTTGAAATGTGCCACTCCAGTGGTTCTTGTGTACTTCAAAAAATGCTATTATATATGGCCATTAGAGTACAAATACCAGTTAATAATACTCATAAATGTTTATTTATATTAATTCCAGGTAGCAACAGGAAAGGGAAGAAGATTATGAAAATAGTTACGCCAAAAATTTTGCCATCTTTTCACATGTAATGATTTAAATATCAGCGGTTTACTAATAGTGATTTTCTATGACAAAATAGCAACTTTGAAATTTATCATATCTGTAATAATTGAAAGTTGATTCTGAAAGTAAAATTTGAAACAAGAAACTCTCAGTTTGTGCATAATACAAGACTGAGCAAATTGTGATAGCGCGTTGCTACTTTGGCACCATGTCCTCCTGCGGAAAGAGAAATTTAAACTACTGATGGTCTTGGAAATCACAAATAACATCTGCTTTCATCTCAGGTTTGACATCAGCTGCTGCAACTTTGCTCTTTCCATGTCTTTATGTGTTGATATGTCACAGAAAGTGGAAACTAAGATTCCTTTGCAAGAAGACTAGCAGCAGCACTGAAAAGAATTATGAGGCCATGATAGTATCCCATGGATCCCTAGCTCCAAAAAGATACAAGTACTCAGAGGTAATGAAGATAACATCTTCTCGCGACAATCAGCCTTGAGAAGGTGGTTATGGTGTGGTTTTTAAAGGAAGACTACATGATGGTCGTCTGGTTGCTGCAAAATTCTTGCATGACTGCAAAGAAAACGGGGACGAGTTTGTGAATGAGGTTATGAGCATTGGAAGAACCTCTCATATTAATGTTGTTAGCTTATTTGGGTTTTCTTTGGAGGGATCAAAATGAGCTCTAATATATGGGTACATGCCAAACAGTTCCTTGGATAAATACATTTACTCTGAGAACCCCAAGGAAATTTTAGGATGGGAGAGGCTCTATGGGATAGCAATCGGGATTGCTCGAGGCCTTGAATACTTGCACCATAGCTGCAACACACGAATCATTCATTTTGATATCAAGCCTCAGAATATCCTTCTAGACAGTGATTTTAACCCAAAGATTGCTGATTTTGGTCTACCTAAATTGTGCCATACAAAGGAGAGAAAGCTTTCAATGATGGGAGCTAGAGGAACAATTGGATTCATTGCCCCAGAAGTTTACTCTCGAACCTTTGGGGTGGTTTCAACTAAGTCAGATGTTTATAGTTATGGAATGATGCTGATAGAGATGGTTGGAGGTAGGAGAAATGTAAAATCAATTGTTACAAAATCTAGTGAAAAGTATTTCCCAGATTGGATTTACGACAACTTTGAGCAAGAAGATGGATTACAAGCATGTGAAGTCACGAGTGGAATTGAGGAAATCGCAAAAAAGATGACCTTAATCGGCTTGTGGTGCATACAAGTATTACCTATGCATCGCCCTACTATAACAAATGTTCTTGAAATGTTTGATAGAAGCTTAGATGATCTGGACATGCCGCCAAAGCAGAACTTGTGTGAATTACTGTAAGATATTACTCCCATGTTGTTCCTTTGTTTTTCTATGCAATTATTATTATGCAATGACTTGACCTGTGTGCTTATTCCAGTGAAAGTTCAGCTCACAATATGAATGTAGAAAGTGCAAGTTCTACCGGATTTGATGAGATAAGACATGCGAATTCAAATATTCTAAGTTCAGCTCATGATATGGAAGTCGAAACTGCAAGTTCTGCTGGATACGTGGAGATACGCTTTGTGAATTGACAAATCCTACTATCCTATTACTAGAAATCGGCTCTTCTCCCATTTTATCTCATTAGAAAGAAACTGCCTTGTCTTTGGGCAGATACTTAGTCTTCTAAATCCAAAATTTATATGATGATCAGTGAGAAATTCACGAAGCGCAAAAATTTGTTATTGCATCATAAAATACTAGAGAAGATACTCCGGGAAGTGCTATCCTTGCCAAAGCCCAAGTTTATTTTAGACAGCTCAATCGTGCGTCCAACAACAACATGCTATAGGTCGACGGCCCACTGGCGCTGTATCGAACGATCACCTTAACGATGCTTGCTATAGTGCGCTCTCGGGCCGGAAATATGCTAGCATTGTGAGAGAAATCATTGTCACTTATGTGGACTTTGTGTCCTGTAGTGTAGGCGCTGTAGCAATGTTCACTGAATCGTTGGCTTACTGTAGCAAGAGGGACTATAACGGTGTTCACTGAACCGATGCGTTACTGTAGTAATAGAACAGTAGCGACTGGTTCAAAATTTACAGACAAATATTCAAAAACACGATCATTTAGAAGATTATTCGCACAAAGCAAAAAACATAAATAATTTTTGAATTAATTTTTAAATTTTGCGCAAATTTTGGATTCCAAACATTTGTTGAAAATATGTACAATTTCTGAAAATATATGAAACCGCGAACAATTTTTGAAAAAAAATCAATTTTTACTGAAAACAGGATTTTTTAAAATGGAAAAAATTGGAAAATGGGAAAAATTAACTTTGAACAAATTTTGTAAAACACAAACTATTTTAAAGATTTTATTTATCTAAATTTGTGATTTAGAAACTGTCGGTGTACAAAAAGAGGAGTACACTTTTTGTACCCCTATAACTGTGCACGGGCAGTCTGAGCCACGAACACCACCACACTGAGCAAGGCAAGGGAGGTGAGCCAAGGTTAAGGCCGGGGCTTGAAAGGAGCAGAACGACGCCAAGACCAAGACCACAAATAGCAAAGGGGACGAAGCGGACTCCCCCGGCAAGATGCCTGCCGAGGGGCGGTTTTAGCAAACCCGGCAAGACCCTTGCCGTGGCAGCTCGCCCCACACCTACGGAGCGAATCACCCTTGAGTCAACTGCCGCCATAAGGGCAAGGACTCGGGAGACATCTCCGTGGTGGCATGCAGATCTTTGTGAAGACATTCAAGATCGGATACACACTATAGAAGATGACGACCCTTGGCGGGATCCCAGCCAAGGAAGACCACAAGGCCCCCGGCAAGAGCCTTGCCGGGGATGACAGCAGGCGCCCCGGCAAGACCCTTGCCGGGGCTACAGCAAGGCCCTTGCCAAGGACACCCGTAGGGCCACCATCAGGCCCACACCAATCCAAACCTCCACCATCGTTCACACGCAGCTGCCGACCCAACCAGTTGGGCAGGCACCTGCATGGCGGCGAAAGGATCTTCCTGGAGACCCAGCGCTACGCCACCTCAGCTGCCTGCCTGCCTACATGGCACCACGGGCACCGCTGGCTAGGGCGCGTGTCGACACGAAAGGGAGCGGCGACGGATGAGACTGGGCTCTCCCCCGTCCCCGATAAAGCAAGAACACCTAAGCAAGACGCATTAAATGCGCCTTGTCATGTAATGCGAGGGATAAACTCGCATCACTGTACCCTTTCCACCTCCTGGGTGCCACTGTGGCAACCCCTTTCCGTATAAAAGGAGACCCGAGGCGACCAGGAGGGGGATTCGGCTTTTTGGAGCTCCTCACGCCCCATTGCTAGCTCAAGAACACAGATAAACAAACCATCAAGGCAGGAGTAGGGTTTTACGCATCCTCGCGGCCCGAACCTGGATAAAGAACCCGTGTGCTATCTGTTCGATCCGCCCTTCTCACAACCCCGCGCCCCGCAACCGTAGTAGGGATTCTTGTGATCCCATAGGTGTCGTCCTCGCACCGACAGAAACAATGAAACAAGAAAAGGAAAATAGAGAGAAAAAAATATAAAAACCTGAATAAATGGAAGACGCGGTAATAAAGCAAACAGAAAAAATGAGGTTCAAGGACCTTCCAGAAGGTTCCCAAAACGGATAAAACTGGACAGGAAAAGGTTCCTTATTACCGAGAGTGTTTTGCATGTAACAGCTGAAATGGGCCGGCCCAATATATCGGTTGCTCGCTCATACGTGTGCTAAAGGGTCAACTATTTGAAGCAACACACGTTAATAAAAAAAATCTAAGCAACACGCATCAAATAGGCAACATCAAAAGAAGTTCCTATCTGCCACTCTTTGCGGCAGATTGTCGAAGCAACGGACAGGCGGCCTCCAGCTGGGCCAGCCCATTGACAAGTCGACATATATCTGGATTATAGCCTCATCTATGGTTTTTCCTGGAGTTACGGACCCAGCTTGCTCGGAAGCGTGAGCCCGCCGAGAAGCGCAAGCGCTCGCCTTATATTTGCACCTTAGTGGGATCATTATTTCATGTGATAATAAAGGCATAGTGGAGAACATAAATAATGAGGCGTGTGGTAGGAACGATACTATTGTTTCGAAGATCAGGGAAATCAACAGCTCTTTGAAACATGTGATATCAACTATGAAGGAAGGGACACAAATAAAGAACTCATAGTCTGCTTAAATTCCTTGTTTTATTAAACCCATGTCACCACATGTACTCCTACGAACTTTCCCCTGAATCAGTAAAGTATCCTTTACCGCTCAGAGAAAAAAAAA